TACAGGCCGTTACTGTGAACGGTTTTCGGTTTTTAGATGATCCCTTTAGACAAGTTAGTTATGAAAAAGCCCTATCTAGTTACTTGTTTTCAATTTTGGTCGCTCTTTTGTATTTCGGCCGCGCTATGTCAAGGGCAATTGGACTTTGCGCTTCATACCAGATGTCAACACTTGGCTCAGCAGGCAATATGGAATAGTAGAATACTATTTGACTTAAGTCATAAGCAGGCATGGGCAGAGAATGAGCACACGCTCAAAGAGCGTAAACATCGCGTGTACGTATACAAGCAAGAGCGTAACGATGAGAACGCGGCAGCATGCAAAATGAATTACGCACACTAACACATTCTCACTTCTAGCGAACGCTTGTTTGTGGTAGTGTCCACCTCTGGTCATACCGTTATGGACATGTGCACTACCTTTGTTACGAGCAGTGCGGACCGGTGGTCATCGAAGAGTCTGAGCACTCCTTTTTTTCAAATGTACCCGATTCAGCTCTATGTTGGCCGCACTCATCGTCATGGAAGAGGCTGAGCATTCCTTTATTCAAATGTACCCGATTCAGCTCTATGTGGTGCGCACTTATTTGTATGCTTGGCTCCTGCCTAATACCAGACAATCTGGTGCCGTTAATGTAAGCGAGCGAAGAAGCAAGGGCTAATGTTTGTCTTATCCTGGAGACTGGTGTTGCAGACTCTCATGTTCCCGACCCCTGCAAAGTCGATCAGCCTAAGTTAATTATCGAACGTTTGTTCATAAAGGTTAAGTTTTTCTGACAGTGGTGCCTAAACTCCCTTGATTTCTACACAATACTTTTTTAAGTGTGAAACATAGCAGTTTCCGACGTAGTCTTTCTCCTTTACATGGCAACTTCAATCGGGGTACGCCAGAGACGTCTCTATGAACTGAAAGATGAGATTTAAAACCAAATACGACATACACAGAGCAACCGTCATCATTTTCATCTACTCTCGCGCCGGAATTTCCGTCATCTCAGTTCTGGCTTGGCCAAAGGCAGAGGTGGGGCTTCAGCTGTGTCGATAAACCCACTTTACCCTGGAACTTTTACAGTCTGGACACGATGTGGTTTCTTAAACTCCTACCTATCCTACGGACTGTATAAGAAGGTTGCCTGCATAAACCTAATCTCCTCTTTACAGGTGCCCTTACATCCACTTCACTAACATCCCCCACGCCGTAACATCACGTTTCCTTGGCCTATCGTTAGTTGGGCTTGACGATAACGATTGAAAGATTAACCGATTAACCATATTTAGAAAGCACCGGTTGTTAACATACTTAAAAGAGTATTGTGCGGAAACCTTAATTTTCTTTTTTGTTTAGGACGAAAATATTTAAAACGATTACCGTTAAGGCATTTGAACAACATTATTTAAAAAAAAAAGTACCAAGTTCTTACAATACGAGTATTTTTGAGAATTTAGAAATTTTTCCTATGGTCGAATCACCCTTTTTACAAATTCGTACTTAAAGTTTTACTTCATTCTGAGGCCATTTCGCGCTAAAAATCTGTGTTAGCATCGGTAAATTGAGCTCTCCTAAGAAAAAAAGTCGCTGCGCCGCGTTTAATTTCTCCTTTCGTGCGGCCTCTGTTCTGTTCGACCCATTTGTTGTTTTGCTTTTGAATTTTTCCACTACTCATACACGTAGCATCGACGCAAGCGAGGCCAAATGGTTGACATGGAGTCAGTGGCCAGCAATTTTACATTGGCCAACATAGCCGCTAGCGATCTATGCAATGGTCAGATAGTGCGATAGAAGGAAGCAAAACGATACAAAAAAAATGTAATGTTGCCCATAACAACAGCGCTACAGAAGCAGTGGGGACAGTTTCCCTTTTTTTCGCAGCATTCCACAATGCGCTTATGTAAAATATTTGTGCGCTACTTGCATATATATGTACATATGTACAGTGGCGGTCAAAAGTGGATGAATGGTGTTTCGTTTTTAATATTTACAATGCTTTTTTTTTCTAGCTAACATTTTTTTTGATATTTTTTATAAAAATCTAGTTCATGCTTTAGCAAAAACTATATAAATCAGGCTTTCAAAGTTTATACAGAATTCAGAAAAATTCCATAAATTTATATCTAAGTTTCGAGCTTTTTACCAGAATTTTTATAAATTTTTTGGGTGTGCAGTTAATTAGCTTACAAAATTTTAGTAAAATAAGTGCAAGTTTTTTAGCGGCCGAAAAATCGCATTGATTTTTTATGTATTTTTTCGTTGTTGGTGGCGTTTTGCAATTTTTTCCATATAAACATGAATTTCTTGTGGAAGAATATGCGCACGACCGTTTGCGAAAAAATTAAAAAAGTCAAAGCCAGTTTTCCTAAATTCCGCTTTTTATACTAAAAGCCGTTCGCAAAAAAAAATTATTTAAAATCAATGCGATTTTTTAGCCGCTCAAAACTTGAACTGCATACACAAAAATTTTTTAAAAATACTGATTATTTAGTTGAAACTTTTACTTATATGGGGTTTGTTAAAGCATGAACAATATTTTTATAATAATATATAAAAAAATTTAGCTTGAAAAACATTGTAAATATTAAACTTTTGACCGCCACTATAAAATTAAAAAAAAACACGACTGGGAGCATTTTCGTTGTTGTAATTTTCACCTGTGCAGTAATGAAAACCCCTACCATTCACCGGCATTTTGCTATGTATCTGTGTACTTGTGTATGCACATATTTTATGTGTGTTCGTTTGTATGCGAATATCGCTATTTGCAAAGCTAAAGAAAAAAGCTCTCTTGAAAGGATTGTCGATACTGAGTACATATTCATACCTATCTGCATACATCTGTTTCTACATATACATACATATATATGTATGAGTAGTCAGTGGCCTATGTATTTTTGGTTTTTATTGTCGTTGTAGTAGTTATTGGCTGACTGTATCGGTCAATTTTAAACCGCAAATGTTCGAATGCTTCGTTAACTCGGATGTATGGCGTAAATACATATGTAGTACATAAATACATACATACAGGGTATATTCCCTGCAGTAAAATTTAGAGACAGGCTAGCAAAGCGCTATTTTCGAACTACATATCTCAGAACTACTAGCTCTGAACTAGTGCAACGCGGCTGCAGAGCGGGGCAGTTGAAAATTGCATTTTAAGACCTCCGACTCAAGCATCAACGGTCGCGAGCAGTGCTGCCAGCTTGGCTCAAACCGTGCCATTTTTGGCCCTATTTTACTTCAAATGGCACTTAATTTTTTAATTTGGCACAAAGTGTAGTAAATATAGTAGTATTTCAATAAATTTTTGTGAAATCCTTTGCGCCTACTTTTTTTTTCAACTAAAATTTTCTAATTTCCATAGTGTATATTTACAACTGGTTTATTTTACTTTGGCATTGGACTTTTTTTTTAATTTAACGGTAAATGGGAAGAATTAAAATCAATGGCACATTTTTTGGCACTTTTTTATCCTCAATATGGCACTTCATTGCTAAGCCCTGGTCGCGAGTACGATTCGCGGTGAAGACAGTTGTGAGTTTTCAGGTTTAATGAATTTAAAAAGCAGCGTGCAGCATACAATATTTTGTTTTTTTTATAAAATATGTAATAAAAATGGAATCTGTAAAAGAAAATCAGAAAAAAATTATCTAAAAATCGAATATTAAAAACGTTTTCTTTTTAAAACTACGGTTAAACGGTTTACGGTTTAAAAAACGGTTAAAAACTAGTTGGAGAGTCCGGCAATGACATCGCCGCGTAAAACTGGACAGTTGAAAGCATTGCTTGGGTATTGAGCTAGAACTAGTACTGTCGGCAAGAGTTCTAGGTCTACGCTAGTCCTAGGCTAGTCCTGGGCTAGTCAGATTTTCTGCATTGTCTTTGTATGTCTGCACACTAATAAAAATATGTAGTCTGTTTGGTCACTATGCCGGCACCACCACTTGCTATCCTATGCGGCAGAACATCCGTTCTAAAGGCTATTCCGCAGCGCGGCTATGCACATTCATACATACATACATGTATGCACACAGGGTTATGTACATATATGCAGATTTATATGTATTTATGTATATGTACATATGTACATGTGAATATTTCTGTTTCTGGCATGAATTTCGTCCTTCAGCGGCCGTATGCTGGTCGGAGGGCTAAAGGCATGAAAAATGTTGCTTGCTTTTTGTAGTTGTAGTAACCAGGCGGTGCTTGTCTATGTGGTGGCAAATTCGTTGTGACCTCGCCAATATTGTGTTAAACGCAGATAGTATGTGTGTACTCAGTTACACACACAAACATGAGCGAGGTTGTAAATTGCCGCGTTCAAATGCTGACAAATAGGCAATATCTGCAATTTCGTTGTTTTCAGCGGTTACAGTAGATGTTATTGCTAGTCGGGCTTTTTGGTACTCTTGTTTTTTTTTTTGGTTTTTATTTTTGGGCTGTGGTTAGTGGCGCGAAAGCAATAAACAACTGTTTGGATACTTTTGTTTAGTTTTGTTTAGCCTGTTGACAGCAGTTGTTGTTTTCATAAATTTTTTTGTGAGTATCCGAATTTTAATAAAACTTTAAACAGCTGACTTTCGTATTATTAAATTTGTTTAAACATACTCTGCAATAGTTTTAAGACAAACTGGCTACAAATAAGTTCTCGAAGTAGGTGCTCAGATATGCAGACTTACAAGCTATCAGCAGATCTTTGGTTGATTTACTTATTGGCAGAGAGATAATGTTCGATGCTCTCCACCTCTTCCTTGTCTGTCCCCAACTGCGACAAAAATTATTGGCGGGGTATCCTAACCTTTTTCCGTGTGTGGCCATCAGGCAGTATTCGGTGATTACCTCGGAGGGATATGCCCGCATTCTGAGCAGAAATGACTTCAGATATTTCCAGCCCCCTCCTTGCTAACTCGTCAACTAAGCAGTTGCCAGGAATGGGCCTGTGTCCAGAGACCCATACAACAGTCAAGGAGTATTTTGATGCCAGCGGGCTTCCTGCATTCTATGCCTACCTTGGATGTTATTCCATTAGATTTAAGAGATTTGATAGTAACCTGACCATCGGAATAAATAGCGATTGGCCGTCCTGGAGGGGTGGAGGCAATGAGCCACCGAGCGGCCTCCATTGTAGCGCTTAGCTCTGTTTGAACAACGCTACAATGGTCCAGTAAGCGAAAACTGAGGTTTAGCGTGAGTTCGCCATAGTAAATCCCGCTGCCCACTCTTTTTATAAGCTTGTGACTATCTGTACATATAACGATCAAACCTGAATTTAAGTCAGTGGCCCCTTTCCATTCGTTCCTCTCTGGGGTTCTTATGGAGAATTTGTTGTCTAAACAGAGTAGGGGAGTGGTATAATCTAACGGTCGTAGATCATCCGGTAGAGCTTCAAGTGCTTTTTCGTGTCCGAATCTGAAGTCTATCCGTGGATCCTTGCCGCACAGCAGCCGGCCCGATTTAACATTATTTCCAGAGATTTGACGGGTGTAGTGGCTGGTGCGCCCGTAACCAGAATGGCAGCCGCCCTCTGCACTCGTTCCAACTTGGCTCTGGGCAATGAGAGAGAGAAAAGGATGGGTCTTATCACAGCTCTGGAGATCCGGTGTGCTACACGTATGTGGTATTATTAATAATTTTTTGCCTACAGCCGTTTTTCGGGCATACAGGGCGGGACCGCCCTTCCTGTAGCGGTCTTCAATGTTTCGCTTTCAATCAAGTTTCCTATCTAGAATAACTCCAAGGGTTTTATTCTCTGTTGAGAGAGTAAGTGTCAAACCGTTCACGCTGGGAGGTTTGAATATAGGAGTTTTATACTTATTTGTGAAAAGTACCATTTCGGTCTTGGTAGGATTGGCGCTAGATCGATATTCCTTGGACCAGACGTTTACAAGACTGAGTGCATTTTGCAATAACGATTGCTATGTCTCAGTGTACGCTGTAACTTGACAGCCGCGCCCATTTAGACTGGGTTGTAGGGCGTTAACAGTAAGACTCCAGAGTAAAGGGGAGAGAACGCCCCCCTTAGGGAGTGCCTCTGGTCACATACTTTGTAATGGAGGCACCCCCAGTTCTGTTAGAATAGTTCTCTTTTCGAGAATAAATCCACCAACAGACCCCGTCGAACCCACACTATAAGCAGGATAGATATTATTAAAAGCACTCTCAATATCGAGAAAAACTCTGAGCGTGTATTCCTTTATGGCCAATCCTTTTTCAGTCGTCCACATGATTTAAGTGCGGTTTCCACGGATTTCCCCTTGGAATACACTTGCTGATTCGAGCAGAGGTTGTAATTTTTTATATTTTGTCGAATATATTCGTCAATAAGCTGCTCTAGAGTTGTAAGAAAGAATTAAGTAAGGCTTAGATGCCGGAAATCCTTCGGTTTCACATGAGCGGCTCTTCCTCCTTTTGGTAAGAAGACAACCTTTGCCTTTGTCCACTTGTATGGTACGTGAGGCTGTAAAAATGTGAGAAAGCTGAGAGCACAGTATGTCCTTAGCTTCTTATAGTTGGGAGGGAAAGATTCCGTCAAGTCCCGGAGATTTTTAAGGCTAGAAGGACATTATAGCGCATTCCACCCTCTCATAACTTACGACGTCCCTTACGGTGTGACCTTAAATAAGACATTTACAATTTTATGGATTGCTTCAGCGAGCTTCGCTTACGCCCTTAGGTTTGTCACTAAACAACTACACCACAGAAAGGAATAGGTCTAGCAAATACGGTGTACCAACTTCGTGAACATAACCCAATTTCAACGTCTTACCGTTTATTATCATTGTCTGGGCACTGATGCCGTACGCTTTCTTATTTTGATATTTTTATCCAGTTCGACTTTTTATCAAGAATTATGCCAAACTACTTTGCAGATGCAGAAGTTTAATAATTTTTAATTCAAATTACAAAATTTGTTGTGTTTCGATTCACCACTAGTTTTCATGGCTAGAATTCCAGCAGAATTTTTTACGAATAAAGCATGAAATAAACTTGCTAGAACTATTTAAAAAAAATAATAATAAGTAAATAATCGGCCACTCATTTAAGATACAATAAATCCTAACCGACATTAAACTCGTTTTTGTAGATTTAATTTGTGGCATCCAGCCACAATCACATTCTTTGCGTAAGTCGTGCGCAAATAACCAGCTACATACATACAGATTAACTTTGCTAATAATAAAATGTAGAACACAATAAAATTAGTCACAGGATGGTGGATGAAAAACGAGAGTCTACCTAAAAGCCCAAGCCAACGAAACTAATCAAAAGCTCATTAAGTCAAATAAAAATCCACCTTTTGAATCTCGAAAAGCCCATAAAACAGTAGAGCTTAGTAGGAGGGTAAAAAAGGAGCAAAAAAGAAACTCCAAAGCAACAATAATAGAGACTCACAAGAACTACAACAATCAAAACAACAAATGACAAACGGATTTGAAAGCATAAAAGCAGCGGATTTTCTAAAAGCGCCAGCCAAAAGTCAATCAAACAAACATTCCAGGCATTGTTAAAAAAAAAGGTTATAAAATGAAGCTGAAAAAAATTACAACAAATTAAAATTGCATTTCCAACAATCATTTGCTGCTGCGATCCCGTGAATAAAATGAAGGAAGTTTCTTAATTAAAAGCGGATATTAGCAATTGTAAGCCAGCGCAACCAATGAAACGGAAATAAATGAAAATAATACGGCGCGCGGTTATGTAACGACTGCCGCAAAAGCACTCAGGAAAAGCGCACAACAACAACAACAAAACAAATAAGCAATATACAACAAAATGTAGGGGAGGATTGAAAGGACATGCTGTGAGACAACTGGAAATGAAAAGTAAAATAAAAGCATTACTATAAAACACACCAACAAACAGCCATACACACATACTTAGGTATATTAAGGACATTAGAAATGGGGCTGGCCGAACAATTGTTAATTAACACAACTGACATTTGCTTTAATGCGAATAAGATTAAAACTGTAAATGCAGGGAGGGCGTAAGCGAGGTAAAGGCAGAACGACACAAAACAAATAAAAAAATAAGCAATTATATTAAACCTTACAAAGGTGAAATTAAAAGAAAGCAATGTAAAGGGAAATGCAGGAAATAGGCCACAGCAAGGCATTCATTGTGTGGCGGAAAAAGTTGTGGGACAATTATTTTTTTTTTCCAGTAAAACAGAGATTAGTGAAATTTTTAAGCATATCGTAGATGTAATTAAAAGCGGGTTAGGCGCAATAGAAAGCAGCAAGTTTTAGCAAAAAATACTTGTAGTCGTAAACAAAAGTCTGGGAATGTGGATATGAATTCGAAAGATAGCCGTTCAAGAAGGGAAAAAAATATTTGACTGTGGTAGAAATAGAGGTAGACAAAACTTTTTGTGGCAAATTAATGGATGATGGCATTCAATTTTAAAGTTTGAAAGGCAAATAAAAATAGCGTACTTTTTCATTGCTTTTCAAGGCATTATTCGTCCGGTTAGTATCAGGAATAGGTGTGTGTATTGTCTTAATTCTTATTAATTTTAGTTTTTTGAAAAATTAGAGACTTTAAAAAAGGCCAGCACTTACAATTTCACGAAGGCTAAACTTTTTCTTGGCAGAGAAATTAAACTGACTATTTCTAGGTTTTTCCTACTTAGTATTAGCGCAGATTGAGGTCTTTTGTCACCGAAGAAAAGCAACTTTTTTGAGTGATGATGTCCCTCTAACTTGTCCCAATCGCTATCAGTGCAGGATATTGTCCATTTGTTGAAGTCCTTCTTAGTATCGTTTTTGCTGAATATAAGAAACAACAAAAGGGTGTCTCTGCCCCTTTTTTAGTGGAAGTCCGTTTTTTCATTGCCATCATAGTCCTCATGACCAGGCACCCAGATTAAGGAAATCCTATTCTGGGCGGCTTTATCATTGAGTACTCTAGGGCACTCTATAAGGGCTTTTGATAAGAACGAGTGTCTTCTATATATATAGGGCTTTGAGGACAGATTGGATGTCTGAAAGTATAGAGATTTTGGTTCTGGCATATTGCCGGTTTAATAAGACGTGGGCGGCTCCCAGTATAGCAGTTAGTTCCCCTCAAATACTGTTGCCTCTCATTTTGGGATTCAACCACTATGTTTTTCCCACGAGTTCATTAGTGGTAAACTATAGGGCTATTCCCCGAGTCTTGCAAAGCCCTTGTTGCACGGTTCACAGATTGCACGGTTTCCAAAGCTGTCCCAAACGAAAACCGTTTTTTACCGTGCAATCTGTGCATCGTGCAAGGGCTTTGCCAGACTCAGAGAATACCACTAATGAATTTGTTGCTTTGTTGATAATGTAGTTGAGATGTGTTATGTTCATATATTTGACTTTATCCAATTTACATATATTTAGATCTTGAAAGCATAGCTTCCTTTTCTAATGAAATAGATGATTATGGTTTTATTGGGATTTATGTACAATGCCTCTTTTTTAACCCAAATTGACCCCGTGTTGCCATATGGCAACGCAAAATACATCATGTTTAAGAGGGTGTAAAACTAAAATCGCAGTTTTGCAGGTGGTTAACTCATTCCATCTAGCTCTAAACTGCCTAATCATATTATCGTATATTTCATTGTACAAGTGTTGAAGTAGTATACAAATGTAGTTTGTCTGTTGCAGAGAAAACTGGCGGCGTTTTTTGCATTCTCATCTGCTACTTCATTATCCTAGATTCCCTTGTTACCGGGCACCCTATAGATATGTATCCTTTTATCAGCGTCTATCTTGTCAATGGCTTCCTGGCTGCGAGGGACGTTTATTGATGAAATACTATATAAGGAAACTGCCTCAATTGCCGCCTGAAATAGGTTTAAGTTTGAATTCATTGTCGTTTCAGTGAAGGCTAGCTCTGTTGTTATCCTCATTGCGTAAACCTCTGCTTGAAATATGTTGCAATGCAGTAAATCCCGGCTCCCACTCCCGTAACCATTTTAGAGCCGTCCGTGAAAATGTTTAGGGATCTATGGCTAGGTTTCATTTCCATCCCACTTCCTCAATCGTTGTGGAAAAAGCTCGTTACCACTTAAAGCTAGGTGCCATGAAGCCTGTGCTGCTTGTGCTTCCCGCCCCAATTAAGTGGTGCTCAAAGGTTCTGAAATTTAATTTCCCTGTGACCGTAAACCTACTGCGAATTTCGCAGCAGGATTTTTAAAGAGCAGTCGTCGAAGTAGACCTCAGCGCTCCCGCGATGCACAGTGCTGCTAGGCGCTACACCTTCTCCATTGGCCTGGGGCATAAGGACTTTTGTGCGGCATTCCAGCACACCAAAGCGCCATAGAGCAGTATGGGGCTGACTATTGTTACGTAGCACGAATGCATCAGAGCAGGTGACAAACCCCAAGTGACTCCCAGCATTATTTTACATGCATAAAGAGCGTTACTGGCCTTCTTATCTCTTTCTTCAATATTGCTCATCCACAGCAGCTTACTCTCCAAGACCTCGCCTCGGGGGTCTCCACACTGGGACCTTTGTGACTACACCACTGCCCCATACAAATTGACAAAAAAACTTCTTTGTGCTGGTGAAGCATGTAAAACTATAGGACGAGTAGCCTGTGCAAAATGTGATGTGGGTTTATGTGCTTTGCACGTATAATATGCATATATTCTCATTAAATGTATTAAAACTTGTACACAATGTTTCTATTATTTCATATTTTAACCAAATACTGTCCTCTAACAATCCATCTGGAATATGCCCCGTGTTGCCATATGGCAACGGCCGATATCGGAAGAACTATACTACTCCCAAAGTTTTAGCCATATTTTTTCCTTTACTTTAATGTTACTTTTACCATGTATATAGGTGAAACCAAAAAAATCTTAAAAAAATTAATCTGGGACAATTTGGGTTAATTATAAGTTATCTTTAAGGCGTCTTGCATTAAGTTCCTAATAGTCCTTTAAAGGTCGCCGTTGACGATTATTGATATATTATCATTGTAGCTTATGTTCTCATATCCTCTCTTGTTGAGGACTTGAACTAGTTCATTACCCAGTATAGACCACATGAGTTAGCGTTAGCGGCAATTTTTTACCTGCAAAGAAAAGAAAAATATATTTTCTGATTAGTAAAGCTTTCCGACGCTAGCATATATGAGCTTCATTAAGACATTATTAAAATCGTAGTATGTATTTATAAATACAAAGATAGAGTGCACATACATATGAAATAAGATATCACTGATGAAATGGGGAATTTTTAATTTTTATGGAAGAAACAATATCCCAAACCTTTCGAGATCGAAATCTCCAAAACTGGTATAAGTATTTCCCGCGTAAATACATTCTTGTGATAACGATGGCGATAACATTTAGGTGTGAAAGTGTGGTTTGTACTTGTCTGCACTGTACCCAACAGTAACGCCTAAATTAAATGACGCATAATTTTTTCCTAATTTGCATAAGGATTTCGATAGGATTTTATTGAAATCTGATTAAAATCTTAGAAATCAAAATCATTGGAAATGGGAAATCCTCCTAGATTTTAGAAGATTTTGCAAAGTTTACTAAAAGCTTATTTCGAAAAAAATATGCAGATAGGGGCCCTAATTATGTAAGCAGATATATCTACACTGTAAACCATTTATGTAGTTAACGACAGAAAATATATTCAGCGCCACAAGAAAAATACGCAAATTAGGTCTTACGAACTCAGCGCTAAGCTAGCAATCGAATAAAAACAAAAACAACAACAATACAACGTCCTCACGCAAGAGGTGCTGGCCCTCTTCGTTGAACATGACGAGTCTTCCACCAGCAAAAAGGGCAGCGGCATCTGACCATAGATCATTATGCTCCCCTACAAGATCTCAATCGAGTCAACGATCACATGAGGCATCGAGACACTACTCGGGTCCATCTCGCGCATATGGGGACATAGAGGCGCAAGTACAAAGCACCGTCATTGCAAACCACTGACACTACCACCGTCAGGTAACCCAGGCGCTATGAACGACCATCGGAGGCATGGACTGAGTCGTGCAGCAGTCAAGTGATACAAAAAGACCTTAAATCAGCGCCAAGCAAACTAAGCAAATACTTTAAAGTCAGAAAGCTTGCCTTAAAGTTACACAACACTTTGTTGCAAGGCACTCTGTAGTTAGGAGGCAATTAATATTGGTGTGCAACAGTAGCCCACAAACTACAAACTTTAAATACATTTTTCATGCTATTACCAGTGTTACACGCACCACCAACTATGTTACAAAAACAATGCAGCACAGCTGTCTTGCTTTACAATTTACATACTTACCAAAATATTTTTCAAAGGTGTGAGTTTCAGCTGGACGGACGCTATTGTGAGCCATGTGAATTGCATACCTATGTATGTACCAGGGTGGCCAACTCGTGGGGAATTCCTCTATTTGCGGAATGGACCGTTTTTTATGGGGAATTTCAGCTCCTTCAATTCTAGCATAATAAAGCTTCGAATGGCCAAAAATTATCGTTGATTGATTAGAATTTTGTTTGTCGCACTTGTTTTCATATAACGAGTAAACATAATTTACTTGCATATGGAAGAAAACCGCAAAAACTTCGTCAAAAAATTCTAAAGCCAAAATTTTTAGACACTTGAAATTTGCACTTTATTATAATAGAACTGAGTGGGGTACAGAACGGCATACTCTAAATCTTTCTAGAGAATCGAATTAAAAAGCTCGAAATTTGTACGAAATTTTGTTGATTTTTTTTTTGAAATATTAAATAAACATTTTTTATTATTTATTTGTTAACTAACTTTATAAAAGTTTGATTTGGAAATTCATTGTCGAAATCGGGGAATTTTTAAAAACGCGTTGGCTACCCTGGTATGTACATACGTACATGCACGTATGCGTATGTGTTTGTTTGCTCATTCGTCACACGCGCTGCCAATTGACTTTGGCTACACCACTTCAGCGCTCACCGCTGGCTTCCAATATACGGTACGCCGTTGTTTGTTTTGCCTGATGAATTGCGACTCATTGACTTTTGTGACTTTTTTACGCCATCTTGTTTTAAAATGAAAAAAAAACATGCACTGAATGCATGAACCGCTGGACCAGTTGGGTGGTCATATGTATGTATGTTTTCCGTTTTGTCTACTCATCCGCGCTCTGCTTGTAAATTGAAGTGTTGCGCTACATTGTTTGTGCTTTTCGTCTGCCTTCTGCTGTTTTTGTTTTTGTTGGTTACGCGCACAAAGGGACAGCACAGAATCATGCTATACAGATTTTTCTTTTTTTTGTTAAAATTTTGTTCGCGCTTTCGTTCACCAATTGGTTTTTACATTTTGTTTTCTATTTTTTTTTCTTTTATCACTGCCTTTATTGTGCTTATACATATACATATATATAATTTTTTTACTTTGCCTTGTTTCATTTGCGATCCCGTTTACTCTGTGCACTGCTTTTAACGACCTTTTTTTTGCCTTTTGCTAGCCAGCTACTATATAGCCCGCTCATATTTCTTTGCGCTTCCGTGTGGATCAGTTTTACAGTACTTCGCGCGCATTATTCCTGCCACACGCTGCAATTTTATAGCCACTCAGGCAACAGTAAAGCGGCTGCCGCTGAAACTGACGAGATCTCTGGCAGCTTATTTCATTCCACCGACGCTCCCTTTAGCGCACATCGGCATGTTTACTAGCTTTAAATTTTCATACTCCTTTTCCATTTTCATTCCGTACTTTCTTTGCGCGCTCGACCGCCATTGTTGTCGCGTAAAAATGCACAAAGCAAACTTCAGAACAGGGGTAAGCGCGGACGTGCGCGAAGCTTGTAAGTTGAGCGCTGCGGCTCTTTGAGTGCTTAAAAAAAAAAATAGAACTTTGCAGCCGCTTGTTTGAGAGTGTGGGAAATTGTGAAAACATGAAAAATCTCTTTATGTGCCACAAAACTGCATAGCGACTTCCTACGCCGTTGTTGAAACACAAACTTCTTCCTACATACATACATACATACATGCAGGCGCGCGCTACTTTATGCAAATATGCTTTCTTCCACGCGCTTACGCATTTGAGGCGCACTGGCTAGGTAAGTACATACAACCATAAATGCAAGGCACTGACGCGTAAGTCTACTTGCCGCCTTTGACTTTTTCGACACACGCGCGCTCGGTGTAAGCGCTGGGGTGGGTAAGGAAATAAAAAGTCAACAGCAAAGCGAACAAAATATTACACACATAGTGTGTATACGCGCGTAGAACACGTCGCTGGTCACTCACTGTACGCGAATGGAAAATTCGTTAAGCCGAACGAAATGGGCGACATTTGCTTGTAATTCGCTTGTAAATTAAAGCGACAGCAACGGTAATGGCACTAACGAGCGAGCGGTCATACAAAAAGGAATGTGAACGAAGGAAAAGCAGGAAACGGAAACGTGAAAAAATTAAATGGCAACGGTTGTTCAACTGGAAAAGCCAATAACAAAAAAAATTGGGACGACAAATATTCAATTGTGTGGAATGGTGGAAACTTCGCGCTGATTTGGGGACTGGCTGTTGGTATAAGCGTACAAACAGAGTTATTATGCGAGTGCTTATAAAGTAAAAAGTAAAAAGTGAAGGCAAACTATAGAAAATGGGGCTGGCAACGGCAGGGGAATACGTGCTGGGACACAAATAATTCCCCAAAGGTGTTTCGACTTAATTAGGTTATCATTTGAGTTTAGCGCGCGACAGCGAAGAGAAATAAAGCTCAAATTTTGTTTTCGTCCAATCGAGTGTTTGCCTGTGTGTTCGTATTGTGCTGTAAGGCGTGCGTACGCTTTCTTCTTGCTCTGTCATATTTTAAAATTGTTAATGAGCTTTAAGCAGCACTTGTACAACTATAAGCTTTTTGCAACGTGTTTTATTACCTTTTTTGGGTCTCTTATTTATTTTTTATTTTTTATTTTTTTTGGCAATTACTTTTCCTGCCTTCATTTATTTACTACCATCACATCTATACTAAATACCCTCGCCCGCCCACTTTATGGTTTTGTATACGACTTCGGTGATTTAAATGCGTTAAAAATTACAGCGAGCGTAGAGAAAAAGTTTATTTTGGTGAGAGGGGCGCTTGTTGACTAATAGTGGCTATGACTTTTATAGACTTCTAAGAGTTATGCGCGCAAAACGGGCATATTTGGTCACATTAGCGAGGAAGTTCAGAAATGGAAAGGTAGGTTTAATGGTCATTAAAGCATTATATGTGTGGAAATTATGGGCTACTTAAGTGGCCTATTTTTAAGCAATGTGAATAAAGCGGAATTAATCAGGTGATGTGAAAATACTACGAGGAAATTAACGTTCTTAAAAACAAAAATCAGGAAATAGTAGCACTAAAGATGGTACATCTCATAGTTAAGAATTACTTATGATTATCTTTCTTTCATGAGCGACGTATACACCTAAGCGATTTGGCCGAGTCCAGTAAAGGACGCCAGTGGTTTATATATCGTGACAACTGAAGCCCACTTGAAGTTTGAAAATATGGTATCCATATGTCAATTCCTTCTTTCGGGTCTTTTTCAAATTATGGCGTATGGTGAATACTTGGCCTATGGTGGATTTACCAGATCCAAGGCCACATAGTTCACTGTCGACGGGCATCAGTCTTTCAACCAATACGCTCGATAACACCTTATCCGCAAAATTTAAAGTCGTGCCCCTGGTGGCTCGTGCATTCGGCGGGGTTGTGCTTTTGTACATTGGATTGTGCAGAACACCCTTAAGTTCCAGTCGTAAGACATGCGTTCGTCCGATCATATTCTCAATAAAAGTTGAAGCATGCACCTCATCAACTCTTTGCCAGCGTACTTGAATAGATTAGCTTATAGAACGTCAGCTCTAGCAGCTTTTTTATTTTTCAGTTGCGAAATTTCTATTCGAACCATTTCATAGGTGGGCGGTGGAACATTGACTACGTCGACTACAACTGGAGGCTCGGGTTCATCTTCTCCGCTGGTTCCAGCGTTGTTACGATTCAATCGGATCATAGGTAGCGTAAGTCGCCTAATATTCTGAAAGACTTTTTTGGGCGTTCTTCCTATTCGGCAGCATTTTAAGCTCTTTTCATTCACGTATTTCTATCGACCTCTCTCTTTTGCTGCTACTAATAATACGTCTGTCTCTCCTCTATCTCCAACAGCCTATAACGACTCCATATAGCTCGCTTTGCGCCAGATCGCAACGTGACACTGTATGCCCCAGTAGAGTGACATTCCTTGCCGTACCAGTGTTCGTTATGGTTTAAAAATATGCTCTTCGACGGCGGTACGTAGTAGTTAGCGGTAAATATGGTTATACAGCTTACAGCTAAACAGAATTGACAGTCGAGTAGGGAAGATGTTGGTCCTCCGTTATAATGACAACTTTCCGACATCAAATCTTGCTAGTGCTGCTAATATCACGTTTTTTTTGCAGAAGTGCGCGCATATCTTAAGTGAGTCGATGTTTGGTCTGCACATCGTTCTTATATCAAAAATTCTGGAAGCCTGCCTTCCCTCTATCACAACATAATGGTTTTGATTTCTCATTTTTTTAAGAATTCCTTTGTTGCTGAAACCCAGAGCCTCAGAATACCATACTTCGAACTCCACCAAAGTCGAGAAACCTCAGTCCGTTATTGTACATTTTGCCGTGAACGCTGAATTTTCCGACGGTGGGACCAATGGAAGCGATCCGCAACATTGAAGTAACCACGTCTATATCGTGAAGGGGCACTCGTAAGTATGCTTAAGGCTCTTATAAAACCATTTTTTGGGCACCTTTTCCTTTCCCTTTGAGCGAGAGAGTTATTGAAGAATCTCGGTGATATGGATTCTGGTGTAAATGTGCAATATTTCCTAAATACGAAATTAGCGTCTCAAAGGACCAGCAAACAAATTTTAAACGTAATTTTCCGGTGCATAAACAAATACAAAATTTATGTTTATATATTAACCTATAGCAGATATATATGTACAATATAATGGCCACAAGAAAGGTGGAAATTGCGAGGTAAGCACATCTGCACATTTTCACTTCTTGGCGTGGCAATTTTATGCATTAATTTTTTTAACAAATTACATTAAATAATTTGCACACGTCAAATGGCAGATATGCGGGTATACTATGGAAAATTGATTGATATACACACATACATATTTAACATGCTTATTAGACCGGGTCGGCACCTCATACGAAAGAAGACAATTTTGTAATTACCCCTCTTATAGCATAGACAGACGTTAAGCCGGAGGTCGAGGAATCGAATCTCACGTCCAGCAACATTTTTATTAATTTTTTATAGTTCCTTCACTTTTTATGTTAATTAACCTTTACAAAATTAAATAAACTCGATATATACGAAATTAAGTGAAATAAATTAGGTATATCAAAACATATAGCTGGTTCTCCGAAATAACGACACAACTCAAAATTTAATGTATTTCAATAATGCCAATTAAAAATTTTGTGTTTCGCCATTTAGCAATAATATGTCTTCTATTATTTTTGGTCATTCTTTAGGGAAAAAATTTTGTTAACTTTCAAATTATGACTTTTTCTAAAGATTTAGTAAGTGTTGAAGTTCAAAAATACGAAATAAGTAACAACTCGTGAGCGATTAAAATAAAAAAATTCGTTATTTCACATAAAATCATGACTAACCTATCGCGAGTTTTTGACTTATGCCAATATTCATATTAAATGTCAAATATGTGCCACTGTTCAGTAGTAAGGGTTGATTAATTACAACCTTTTTTTGCGACCCACTCTAATCCATATGTACATATGTACGACAACTTATGTATATACCAAGTAGAGCAGTTCCCTAAATGTGTATTAGCGTGGACCGACATTAGCGTGTATTAGCGTGGTAGAGAATCGAAGTTGGCTAAGAAAAATTTTTTTATTACTTGAACTTTGATGGACTTGGGTGGGCCTAGGATATTGACCAAAAAATTCCAAATTTCACACAGATTTTTTTTTTTAAAGCATAATGAACCATATTTTTGCTATTACCAATAAAAATTCTTAAAAAGTGGATTTTCGGCCCTCGCTAATGTGTATATATATGCGTGCATGCGTGTTTTTCGCTACACATACTACATAGAACTGTGTGTGAGTTTTTGCATTCATCCGGTACGCGACCATTCGTCATTTGTTCGTTCATCAATAGCGACATCCTGTGGCTGTAGCCTCGAATATCCGGACAAAATAAAAGTGTGAGTACCATGCCAAGCTTCATTCAATAGTGGTTGCTACTATGTACAGTGCCAATGTGACTGATGGACGACGAATTATTGAATTGATCGATTACTTTAAAGAAAAAAGGCGGATAAAATTTGTTTGGCTAGGGTACATTTAAAATGGCAGGAAAAATGTGTTAAAACAAATAGCTGATGGCGCTGTGATGAAAGTGAGAAACATGTTATGTGTGAATTTTATAGCCGTACATACATACAAAAAATATGTGTATACAAAACTTGCTCCTCATATTGTAGGTAGAGCAGCGTATACCACATGTGTGGACATACCTATATACCTATACCTATTTATCACCTTAAAATTGCGTTTTACCATTTTTAAAAAAGCTACAATTTCTAATTAAAATCTCAGTAAAGATATGTAAGCAAATTTATCTTCCAAAGAATTTCGCTTTCCAATTTGCGTGCTCTTGTTTCGAAAATTTCCATGGAGAAATAGTATTACCTCTAAATCTGCACTTTTGTCGCTACCATTGATAAATAGTCGAAAGATATCATATGGAATTTTTCATTACTTTGCATGTCACTTTCTGCCATGAGCATGAGTGTTGGTGAAAAGAGTCTCAGAATTGTAGCAAACAAAAAAAAGTGTAACAACACTACACCCCAGAGTATAAATCAAGTCAGCTCCTTTGTGCATTTTTGATGGCCACTCTATGGCAAGAATGCATGCAGTGAACGAAGCTGTGCCAAATGGATTTCGAAATAACTCACTTTTTTAATTCGCCTTGGATCTTTTTACACTTTGCGCTTAACATTCTATTTATTTACGGCTTTCGTTTGCTTATTTCGTTTGTTTTTTTTTTTTGTTTAGACTTTGCCAAATTTATGTTTGGTTAACGCTTCAGTGTTGCCCTTTATAACATGGTGTGCAACAGAGAAAAAAAATAAGCCGGGAGGAAATGTGAGAGGGAAAACAAAGTTACCTAAGAACATTAGACTTCAGCTCTTGTGATTTTGTGCACAATTTTTTTACAAATAACAATAAGTATAAAAACAAAATCGAGTAAAAATTATATTATCCATGATTACACAGATGGTAGTACAGTACGCGGCTCAACTTTGATTAATCGCAAAAAACTTATTATATGATCACAGAGAAATCGTGAAGGCACCACTGTAGGTATCTATCCGAGCTGAACTGTTTGCAAAAAAATTTAACGGAAGAGACTTCCAAGGATGGTTATGCTGGCAGGTTCTCCTGTAAAAGAATTGTAGACTTTGCTCCAGCTTTCACAGAAGACAGGTATGGTGGACGGTGGAGTGCCTGCATGGTGGAATCCCTGTGTGGTACCATTCCATTTTAATTCAGAGACAAATTAATGATGTTATCGATAATTTTGAAAGTGGTCCAAGTCACTGCATAATTCTTGAGTTTGAATGATCGTATACATGTAACTTTATGCATCGCTGAATCGTTTTATTATCATAAATTAATGGAAAAGACTTGGTACCTTTTGTTGATGAAGTTAAACGAATAACCGACGCGTCCAGGTGCGGGTACCTACTGGATTTCAAGAACAAGAGATATAAAGTGATTGTATAGACCACTTTGAAAACTATGGAAAAAATATCTATTAAGGATTATTTATATTTGGAAATACACACTGTATATGTACATATTTATTTATTTACGTCATATTTATTCCGAAACTGGGCAACTGACTCGCTGACTTACCTTAATCAAGCAGTCCCACTAGTGTAACTTCCTTCATTCCTAAGACAATAGTAAGAAAAACAGAGATTTTCAAATTCCCAAATCCCTTACATTGACATAGCCAGAAGAAGATCAACTGATCAGAAATTACGAGGTCTTCTGAAATAGTTCTTGAGTAACATTTTCATGAACAACAAGATAAAGTTCAAATATTGGCCTTCGTTTCCCTTTATTTGCTTTATTTTGATGGGTGACTTGTTAGTCAAACTACAGGATTACGATGCCGATGGTCACGCGGACGACTTGGTAATCATCATTAGGCAATTAGGCCAGACTCAGATTTCCCATATGCCCCAAACCTGTTCTTCCACAAAATTTTTGACTTAAACTTTAGATCGTGATATTTTGGCAAATATATCGCTTGCAAAGTTTTTCAGATCGAGGCGCAAGAAACCTGCTGCTGTACCCGAATAGACCGTGAAAAGCGTTTGAAAGGCTATCTTCTCAGTAAGACAAACGGAATTATCGTACTTTCTAATGGGATTATTGCCTGCAAAATCATCAAGAAGTTTTTTGACACTCTTCAGCTCTTGGTATCAAGAAATACGGTAACACCGTGATCTATAACAAGTAACTGCGGGATGGAAGGAAGCGAAATCGAACGCGATTTATCGTCCTTATTGTCCTTATTGTATTTAGACCGGCCAGGATCTTTGAATATCTTATCGCTATAAAGAGCATAGATCTTTTAAGTTCCAATCGGTCATAATCACCTACGCTTTTACATGCACCGGCCGGATCACGGAGATGAGTAAACATCTAATTTTATTCATTCACAGTCTAGCTCATTATTAGTTAAT